TGGTGGGGGCCGGGGTCTGGGAGAGTGTGGCAATGGGGGGGACTGGAGCGTGGCCTGGAAGGGCTTGGGTGGCATCATCTCCCATGGAGTTTGGTGCCCACATGCTGTGGGGTCTCCACAGAGATGTGACACAGGCTTTGACAGTAATGTGGGTACAGGTCACAGCAGCGGGGAGCACCAAGGCTGGCCAGAGTCCTGAAGGTCAGGCGAGACCTGGACAGGGAGGCAGGCTCAGCCCAGCCCAGGCCAGGAGTCTGGCAGAGCACCTGGGAGCTGGAGACTGACCCGTGGGCCAAGGGTCTAGAAGAACCGTGGCCGCAGAGCCTGACGGTCAGGGGTGAGGAGCAGTGTGCAGGGTGCAGAGGCTGCTGGGTTTCCTCCGTCACCGTCTGCGCAGCCTCTGCCTGCCCAGCGAGGGAGGGGCCGCCGCCTCTAGCTTGCCGGCTGCTCCAGGCTTTCCGTCTCTCTTTCTTCTCTGGGGCGGAGCTGCAAGTAGCAAGATGAGCGTTTTGCTTGCTAGATTCCCAGCTGCTGGATCATTCTCACTAAGAAGTATAGAGTGTTTTATTCTTCTTCATACTTAGTATTTTTTTATAAACTTTTTAAATGCCATAGTGCTAGGATCCCAGGCCCTTGCACATTCAAGAGGAGGTTTGCTAATTAACTCCAATGAGTCTCTAACGTGGTGAATTTAAGGCTGGCTGGGCTTCCCAGCCTGGGGTTGACCTTGCCTCGGGCCCAAGCCGAGGGCCATGAGACTGTGTCAGCTTCCCTGGGCTGCTGTAACAAAGGGCCACAAACCACGGGGCTTAAACAGCCAGTCCCTTCTCTCTCAGTGCTGGAGGAGAGGAGTCTGAAGTCAAGCATGGGCAGGGCACCCCCCTGAGGCTCCAGAGGAGGGCTGTCCTCCCTCCCAGCTCCTAGCGGCCCGTGCGCGGGTGCTGCTTGGCTTGCGGCTGCATCACGCAGTCTCTGCCTCCATTGTCACATGGCCTTCTCCCTGTGCGTCTGTCTCCCTCTTCTTACAAGGACACCTGTCATAGTGGGTTTAGGACCCACTCCACTCCAGTGTGACCTTATCTTAACTAATTCCACCTGCAGTCACCCCGTTCCCAAGTAAGGCTATGTGTGCAGGTCTTGGGTGAGGGCGTCAGCGGACCTTGAGGGACACACTGTCTCCTCGGCAGATTCCTGTTGCTCCTTCGCCCTCCGCTGCATGTCAGGCCCCCATGCCACTCTCCCTGCTTCTGCTCCCTGGTGGATGCCCGGAGACACGGGCTGGGTTGCCAAGCTGAGACAGCTTGGCTGGCCATGCTGGGAGGGAACCAGCCAACTCCCCTGAGGTTGTGCCCACAGGTGTCCGTCGCCTTCCAGGACCTGGCTGTGCGGTTCTCTGAGGAGGAGTGGCGGCTGCTGGAGGAGGGTCAGAGGGCGCTGTACCAGGACGTGATGCGGGAGAACTACGAGACGCTGCTGTCCCTGGGTAGGAAGCCTGAAGAGCCCAGCTGAAGGATGCAGGGAGGCCGGGGCCAGCACCAAGCGGGTTCTGAGCTGCCCTGTGACCCTGGGTCCCACCAGGACTTAGTCTTCATCCACAGAATGAACACTGCTTAAAGTGGTGTTCCAAGAGCTGCAGGCCTCACTGCAGGCCTCACTGATGTTTTATGCTACTGTGGTTTCTAGGGACTGTGCTAGAGTCTGGGTGCTATTCAGTGGGGTCACTAAAAAGCCAGCAGTGCGTCAAGTGAGGTAGCCTCCAAGGCTTGGAAGGGGCCCTGCAGTCCTTGGGGCTTGGGCAGGCCCACAGACACATGGGTATGCAGGTGCCCAGGTGGTCAGGTGCCTGGGCCATCGGCATGACTGCATTTGGGAGGGCGGAGGCCCACTTCCATTCTCAGGGACTGTCCCTCCTTTCTTCCTCAGGGACAGCTGAGCTGCTCCCCCTCTCTGCCTTCCTGTCTACCGCGGAGCCTGAGGGCACCGTGGGTGGTGGGAGCCTTGCTGGCGAGGGGCAGGAGCTTCCTAGGGGAGGAGGCCCCCCTGGTGAGTAACCTTGGCAGGGGAGTACCAGGTCCCTTTGGGCATCCTGGTTCCCCCAGGCAGCCTGGGCCTTGGGGGAATTCATTCTCGGTCCCCCCAGCTGTGCAGTCCTCAGCACTCACTCCACCTTTCAGGGGGCACTGTGACCATCCTTCCTCACCTCGTCACACCTGGCATTGTAAACCCCTCCTGCCGGGAGCCTGGCACACTGCTGCCCATGTGTGCAGTGCTCAGGAGAAACCCAGGGTCGCCCTTGGGAAGTGTTGCCTGCTCAGGCCCCCTTCCTGCTTCCACTTGTGCAGGGCCAGCCTGAAGGTGCTGCCTTGGGGCTGCCATTTGGAGACCTCAGATGATGCATGTGGTCCGTGGGCCCAGCCTGAGCAAGGCCGGGAGGTTAGATGGTGCCAGGAGAGACATGAGGCCTCGATGGAGGAAGGGGTGGGGAGGCAGCCCTCCTTGGTGCGCCCCACAGGAGTAGCGGGTGACGAAAGACAGAGCAGCCGGGGCCCCAGCCCCCTGGTCCTGGCCTGAGCCCAGGTCCCCTTTACCTCAGGGACCTCGGTCTGTCCTTTGCTGCTCCTCCATGGTAGGAGGCTCACGTGAGGTGCCAGTGTGAAGACACACACGGAAGTGTGAGTGCAGAGCTGATGATGTGTGTGGGGCTCACTGTGGCCTCTCGGCAGGAGGAGCACCCCAGCCCAGCCTGCACCTCACCGCCCTGGTGAGGCTGGTGAAGGAGATCCCAGAGTTCCTATTCGGGGAGGTCAGCCCTGAGAGCAGGGGAGCCAGCCCTGATGGCAAGCGGGCGCGCCCCGATGGTAAGTCAGTGGGCTCCTCTCTGCGTCCCGCAAGGGGAAGTTCAGGCTCTGTGCAGCAGAGCTGTGCCCTGTGCCCAGCCCCTGCCAGCCCGTAGGCAGAGCACCCCATTTCCAAGCACCCTGGCATCATGCTTGCCCACCAAGAGCCAGTGGAGAGAGCAGCTACTGACTTTTCTCACAGTAGTTTCTGTATGGTTTCAGCCACACCCCTGTGGCCCCAGTCGCATCGTGCCCTGTGTGGCAGGGGAGGCCAGTCCCTGTTCTGTAAAAGAGGCAGCCATGAGTGGGCAGTAGGGCCCCCAGTCCCCTTCCCAGCAGGTGCTCTTCCCACCCCATCAGAGTCTCCGTCCTCCCCTCTCTCGGCTTCTTGTGGCCCTCAGCTCAGACCAGGCCTCCTCAGGAAGGCTGTCCCCACCGCCCAGCCTTCGGGCCTGCCTGAATGACGGTCTGCTAAACAGAAAGGGGGCGGAGAAGCAGACCGCGGCTGTGAACACGTTTCAGAGCCCAGGGCGACCGTGCAGGGGTCCCAACATCCTGGTCATTGTTAGTGGAACATGGCTGGGACGGGCCTGGATGGGATAACGGCGGGGGCATTTTACCTGCGTCTGAGCTTCAGTTCTAGCTTCGCGCACCCTCTGCTGCCTCCCTGATAGCAGCCGGGCCCTCGGAGACCCGCCCCCTCGGAGGCCTGCCCAGCTGTCTTCCGGACACGCCTGTCGACCGGCCCAGCCCAGCCACTGCCCGCAGTGGCAGCTTGTCCTGCAGCAGCCTGCCTGCCTCGGAGGGGCAGGGAAGCCCCCTCCCCGTCAGTGAGTGTGACCCAGCAGGGCAGGACTCCAAGCAGGAGTCAGGGAGACTGGACCCTGTGCCCTCTTTGCTTTCTGTAGGACTCAGTTTCCCTTGTTCTAAGAGGAGGCAAGCCCCCTGGGGAGGAAGACAGGTGCTGGGCCTGTGCCTGGAGACCAAAGAGGAGGCGGGATGCTTGGTCCTTAGGCAGCTTCTCCCCCAGCTCTGCTCACAGGGTACTGTGTGCCCATGCACAGTAAACCGAGGGCAGTTTCAAACTGCAGGCCCATCGGCAGGTAACATACCCCAGCACTCCCGATCTGGCTCTCAGACCTTCTCATCAGGACAGCCCTATAGGCAGAGGATGGCAAGGGTAGCCGTTAGAATTTCCCTGGGGTCTCATTTTATTTTTTAAAATTCTTGTAAATTTCGTGTCTGAATATCCATTCTTACTAAAAATATTTTAAGTTAATGTGCAATAAAATTGGCACTCTGAAAAACATACCCCATTTAGTCTATAGTTTTAGGCGTTTGACAGATTTGAAAAGCATAAATGCAGGACTGGGGCCTGTGTGTTGAGGCTGCTGATGTCATCTGCTGAACCAAAGAGAGAGAGGCTGGCAGGCGGAGAAAGACAAGTGCCAAATGATTTCCCTCATTTGTGGAGTATGATAACAAAGCAAAACTGAAGGAACAAAACAGCAGCAGACTCATAGACCCCAAGAAGGGCCTAGTGGTTACCAAAGGAGAGGGGTGGGGAGGGCGGGTGGGGAGGGAGGGAGAAGGGGATTGTGGGGTATCATGATTGGTTGGTGTGTGGGGGGTCACGGGGAAGACAGTCTAGCTCAGAGAAGACAAATAGGGACTCTGTGGCACCTTACTACGCTGATGGGCAGTGACTGCAATAGGGTATGGGGGGGACTCGATAATATGGGTAAATGTAGTAACCACGTTGTTTTTTCATGTGAAACCTTCATAGGAGTGTATATCAATCATACCTTAATAAAAAATTTTAAAAAAAACAAAGAGAGGCTGGAGTTGGGAATCCTGGGGTATTTAGAGTGAGCAGTCTTGGTATTTACAATCACACCAGTGGGAAACGGAAAGACCCTCCCCTTCCCTATGATAGACTCTTGGAGTAAGCCCCTCGGGAGCTGGTTCCACCACAAGTCCAAGTTCCTAGGACTTGGCTGTGTACCCCATACCCCCAAGGATGTGGGGGGCTAGAGAGGCCTATCTTCTATAGGGAACCAATTTGGGGCAATTCCTCAGGGTCAGCCAGGGCTAGAAAGGCCTTCTTGTCTCTCCTACAACAGAAACTGCGGACACACGGAGGCCTGCAGAGGAGAGCCCAGGAGCCGCAGGCAGGGAGCCCAGCTCTCCCACCCGTAGCTCGGGCAAGAGGAACCACAGACAGCCGGAGGGAGGGACCCTGGGGGCAGGTGAGAGGCTGGCTTTCCCAGGGCAGGGCCTGCCCAGGAACTGAGCAGGGGAGGGCCATGGAGGTGTGCTCTGTTGGCACAAGGGTGCCACATGGCCCTCCCATCTGGGCCTCCTGACCAGCCTGCCGGGCAGGTGGGAAGCTCAGGTGCCCTGAGGATCCCATGGCTCCACCGTCAGGGCGGCTCTGACTCTGGCTGGTCTTGCAGGTGCCACGGGAGTCTCTCCTGGAAATAGCCCCTTACAAGGCCTCATCAGCTGCCTGAAGGAGATCCTTGTGCCTGGGCCCCAGCACCCTGAGGTGTCCCTGAGCATGCCCCTTCCTGGCCCTGGTCAGAATGCCTCTCGGCTAACCAGAGCAGAGCTGCAACCTGGGAGCCCACGCTGGGGAGGTGAGTCTGCTAGGGACCTGTCTTTCAGGGCAAGGTTTCTGAAGCCCCTGAAAAGTTCAAATTGTCTCTTTATCACTGTTTGTTAATAATAAAATGTCCTCCAAAGGCTCACTCCCATCTGGCCGCCCCACTGCCGTCAGTGTCCTGTCCCTGGAGCGGGGCCTTGCTTGAGGGGTGGCATCTAGGCAGACAATAGTGGAAGACTCAGAGACAGACCTTGCCCTGGACCCTTTTGTGGCGTCCACTCGTCGTGACATGGGACTTGGAAGAGGGGGTGCTGAGTGTCACTTCACGTTGGCGCTGAGCAGGAGGGCAGACCCGGGGGTCAGGCTGGCAGGTGGGGCAGGAGGTCCTAGCATCTTGACTCCTTTTAGTGTGAAGACCGAAAGGCTCCAGAGGCCCGTGAGCCTCCGTTTCCCCATCTGCAAAGGGGATCCCTGTCCCCACCTCTGAGGGCTGCTGTGGCTCGGGTGCAGCACTGCACTGGTACATGTGTGTCTGTAGAGGCTGGGTTCCCCTCAGATGGACCTTCTCTTTGGGGCCCACAGAGCCGAGTGCAGGGAGCGCCCCGTCGGCCTGCTGCCCGTCCGTCTCCTAGTGACACCACGCGCCGCCCCTGGGATGCACGTGCGTGCTTCCCTGCTCTGACCCAGCCAGGTCTGGGAGGGGTGCGGACAGGCATTTTTAAAACGAGCGCCAATAAGATGGTGGCTTGTGCAAGGCCAGATGAGTTGCCAGAAGACCCACATCCCCAGATTCCTGGCCCTGAACCCTTGTAACTGCTCACCTGGACTGTCCACTTTCTGTTGTTTGTCATGAAGATTGAGGACATTGGGCTGAAGTGAAAATGTGTTCCCTTTTCCTGTAGTGAAGACAGAGGCAGCTTCCAGGGACTATCCCCTCCAAGGTCTGCTGAACTGTCTGAAGGAGATCCCAGAGGTCCCAGACAGTCATCCTGGCCTCTCAGGAGCGGAGGACCTATGGCTGCAGGAAGATCAAGGAGCCTGGAAAAGTAATTCTGCAGGTAGAGTCCATTGGCTGGGCAGGGAAGCCCCTGGACATCATTCCATTTCCTTTCGCTGCTCCAAGCAGGGATGAAGGTTTCCCTCCACAGTAAGACACCCAGGCCCGCATGTGGGCATGTCAGTAGGAGTAGCCAGAAGTTGGGGATCCTCACTGTTAGTGGAAGTAGGCAAACAGGAGGTGCTTCATCAGCCCATGGTAATTTTCCAGATTGGCTCTTAAAGTAGGGGCTGAGAGTTCCAGAAGGAAGGGAAGGATGGCAGGGAAGGAGAGAAGTGGAGAATCGGGGATGTAGCGGCGGCCCAGTAGGCATGCGGGCGTGCCTGTGGTGGGAGGTTCCTGATTGTCATGCTTCTGGGCCCTGGGGTAGCGTCTCCACACTGCACAGTGCACATGCAGAAAGTCGAAGCGAGACAGGTGTGCTGGCCTTGGAAGGAAGGCCCCAACCTGGTGCTCCCTGGGGAGGACTGACACGGCATCCTATGGTAGAAACCTCTGGAGGAGCCCCACAGGGGCCTGGGGCTGCTGAGAGTGCGCGTTGGTCCATCTGCTGGTGATTGGACTGTGACCACCTTGGAGCCAGAGACTGCCATGGAGGCCAAGGGTCTCGGAAGCCCTATCCTGACCCTATAAAGGCCTCTTGTGGGCTTCCCACAGGGCCCAGACCCCTGCGGACCCCTCCCCCTGGCCCTGGTCCTGGAGCTGGCAGCGCGCTCTCTGTGGTGAAGACGGAGGATGGCTGGGCCCAGAGACCCTCAGTCTCAGCATCCTGTCAGCTCAGCAAGTGGACCCATAGCCCCACTGCCACCAGCAGCCCTGGGTGCGATGGGGACACCACAAGGGTCCTAGTATCCAGATGGGGCCCCGCAGCTCAAGGTGAGGCCTGGGGTTGTCTGCTCAGGGCCTCCCACCCGGGATTCTCCATGCATAACAAGGTTCTGCCTGCCCCCGGGGGAAGGATTCGCCTGCCCTTATCAGCAGTTCCTCCTCCCTTAATCCATATTCTCCTGAATCCAGACCCTTGCCCAGGGAGCCTTCCATTGTAAGGACCTTTGTTTTGCAGAGATCTCCTGACTGTCAGGCAGCCGGCCACTGTATAACACATGTGGACATCCCACCCCTGAGGCGGGGCCAGCCACACGTTGTCCCCCCTCCAGGAGCAGAGAGCAGATCAAAGTCCCCCTCCTCAGGGTGGCTTGCCTGGCAGACCACAGTGCCTCCCTCAGGACTCGTCACGCCCGCAGAAGGCAGGCTGGGCCGAGGGGCTGTGCCAGAGGTGGTGATAGGGCCGTTTCCCCTGTCCCAGCCAGTGGCGCCTCATGCTCACCCCTGGAAGCCCTGGAGGCCTGTCGGAAGAGCATCCCCCTGAGTGGGTCGTTGCCTCCCCAGCCACTGGCCGCCTCTGGGTTCCGGAACCCCCAGCCAGGAGATCCCGGGTCTCAGAGGCCTGAACTGCAGTCCCTCGGGTCGCACAGAGAAGGGAGACTGGGCCGTGGGCTTAGGGTTGCACGGCAGGATGCTGGGGACACCATTAGGCCCCCGTCCTCATCCTGGGCCTCTTGAGGCACATGTCCACCGCCCCCTCATTTGTGTCTGCCCCGGACAGCTCCCTGTGCTGGCAGCCAGTTGAGTTCCTCCTGATTGCTGGCTTCTCCAAGAGGTCCCCTCTCCAGCCCCGTGAGACCCGCGGTTGGGGTCACGTGGGTTCACATCTGTGTTTTTTAATCAGCACAGTGAGAGCCTTAACTTAAGGGGCTACTCCAGTGGGAGGCCCTTTGGGGCAGGTCTCCTGGGTGCCCGCCCATAGCCCAGGGCCCAGGGGGCCTCTTTAGTGGTTCTCCACAGTTTTCCCATGACGCCCGCTGTGCCATTTCCTGCAGAGGTGACCGTGGGGCCTCTTCTGGCTCTGGGCCTGCAGGGCTGTGTGAGAGACAACTCTGCCCTCCCTCCTGGCCCCCAGAGCACCCCCACCAGCTTCTCCTCGTCCAGCAGCGCTGATGGAGACCTGGATTTCCTGAGCCCTGAGGGCAGCCAGGGGCATCGGCCCGGAAAAGGTGAGCTCGCCAGCCTGAGGTTGGGAGTGGGTCCTGGGAAAGGATGAGAGGGCCCCCTGCCCACCATCGTGACCCACCCACCCAAGTCAGGCCACCGTGCCCACTGCTAGGAGCAGAGCTGGGGGTACTGAGGCAGTAGCAGGCGCAGTGGGGAGTATCTGTTCTGATGACTTGGCTCGGGGACAGGACATGCCTAAGATCTCTGATAAGATTAAAAGGGGTGTTTAGGGACAAATTCTTCCTTACCCCAGCCTTAAAGAAGTAAGTGCCTCTAATAGCAGACTGACCTCTTAGGAGAAAAAAACGTCATAAAGGTCATGTAGAACCACCTTAAGTGTGTTTGGTCACCCATGTGTCCCCTCGGTTCCCCCACACAGAGGCTTTCTTGGGAAGCTGTCACAGCTCTCAAATCGTGCAGAGCTACACGGTCCCCTCTCAACCTTTTTTCCCAGCCGAACAACCCAGTTGCTCTTGGTCTGCCTTGTCTCCGGCACTCGCCTCACAGGGGGTCAGTGGAGGGTCTGGGGCTGCACCTGGGACTCTGCTCTGTGCTCGCTGGGGCCCATGGAGCCAGATGGGGCCTTCAGTATCCGTGGGGCCTGGACCCTCGCACCCTGCTGAGGGTCAGCTACTTGGATGCGGGGGCTTTTTCCTTCCCCTGTGCAGCCGGCTGTCCTTGCTAATTTTTAGCTTTCAGTAGGTAATGTGATCACATGGTTTTGTTCAAAAGCTGTGAAAGGTTATGTTGGGAAGGTGGTGTCTCCCTCCCTCCCTGCCCTCCAGCACCTGTTGTCCCCCTGAGCCAACACTGCTGTGACCTTCCAGGGATGTTCTCTGTGTGGCCAAGCTTCTTGTACCTCCCACTGAAGGCAGCATTCTGGACATGACTTCTCCACCTTGCTTTTTGTCTTAACATTTACCTTTGACATCTTCCTATATTTGTTTCAATATTCCTTGGACACTAGCGCCACTGCTCCCTAACCGCTGCTCAGTATTCATCATGGGGTCTGCAGCCTCGATTGAGGTGCCTTGTTTTCTCAGTAACCCAAACTGCAGGAGGTTTCACACTGCCTTTTAGAAGCTTCTAGTCCAGCTCCCCAGCTCCTCTTTTTCCCCAGAACCCAGGAAATATCCCGTAGGGAAAACCACGTTTGGGGTTCCTCTAGTTGTCACTTGGCTGTCCAGCCCCATGCAACAGCCCAGAGGTTTCTGTTTCCCTGCGTTCTGTCAGGTCCAGCGTCAGCAAACACCTGCAGGAGGGAACACAGCCAGAGACATCGGCTCACAGAGGAGAGGCCTTCCCTTCCCTAGAATTTCAGTGCATCTAGTTCCTGTTGCTTCCATAGCTGTGTCACTCAAATTATGATTTTTGCAATTTATTTTCTCCCCCAAGTTGAAACTGTGTTAGTGTTAGCCGTCTTGGCCTGCTGCACCTCATCCAGAGAGGAGGGCGCCTGTAGTATCTTCTTCTGACAGTGAAGGGAGCCCGACGGCATTTGGTCCTCAGGGCCATGCCACGGGTGAGGCCAGGCGGTGGCAGCCCTCACAAGGGCGTCCGGAGGGATCCCAGCCCTGTGCCTGTGGCCTGTCTCCCTCATCCCAGCCCACTGGCCCAGCCTCTACACAGGCAGCCAATACAGGTGGGCCTCTTTCCGGCGAGCAATGCTGCAAGGCCCCTGGGTCTCCCAGAGACTGAGCTCTGGCCACCTGCAACCTGAGTGCTGGTCTTTCACAGGGAGCCCCGTGGGAAGCTCCCCACTTCAGGACTTGGAGAACTGTCTCAGAGAGATACCTGTGCCCAGGCCACGGCCTGCCTGCTCCTGGTCCTTGGCTGGGGACAGAGGCCCACGGAGTGCAGAGCCCAAGAACTGGACAGCAGACAAGGAAGGTAAGCACAGCCGCTTGGGGGCCTGGGAGCAGGACAGGTGCTGGTCGGCCCTGGCACTGCCTCCCTGCAGCTGGCAGGCTGCATGCACCCATGAGATGAGAAGGTGCCCTGGAAACAGCCTGGGCAGAGGCTGGTGCTGCTGGCCTGTGTGTGGGTGGGGTCAGGCAGGATGCCCAGCCCAAATAGCCCGAGCAGGGCCTTGTCAGCAGGGTGCCTGGCTGTGGTGGCCCCATGCCTTGGTGTCCAGCCAGCCACTGAACTGTGGGCCCCCTGGGAGTCTATAGCTGTGTCTGTGGATAAAGAAGTCCTGGCAGATCTGGGCTCCTGGGAATGTCTGTAGGGCTGCTGTGGGTCCCAGAACTGGAGCTTGTATGCTCAAGAATCCAGCAGAGGCAGGGCTGGTTTCTGTCCAGTAGCTTCCTTGCCTCTGGCAGCACAGGGCCCACGGCACTGGCAGGCCTCTTGGCTTCTATTGAAACAGGACTGAGAGCCGAGGCCTGTGAGCCGGCCCACCTGGGACAGCAGGGGGGGTATGTGCCCCCCAGAAGCCTCCAGCTGGCCAGCCCGCAGGTGCCCACCTCTAGCAGCGTCCCCAACTGCTACCAGCGAGGGCTCAAAGACCAGGTCCCCAGGCCGGGACCATGGAGGTGCCTCCAAGACGGTGAGCTGACGTCTGCCCTGGTGTTTACTGGCATGCTTTCCCTCCAAAGAAAATCTCTGGTGAGGGAACAGATTCCCCTTACACCCCACCCTCCGTCCCTTCCCTGTCGCACCCCCATTCCCCCACTGGCAGCTGGAGCGCGTGCCCTGCTGGCTGCGTGCTGATGCACATGTGCATTTCCCACACTGCCGGCTCGAGCAGCTGAGGCGTGCTGCAAGAGGGTAGAGTGACCCAACGTGCTGGGAAGAAAGGGGAGAGCCTTGTTTCCATCCAGTGTGCAGTGCTCTGGGGGAAGGATTGGTCGTTTCTTTTATCGTGGTAGTTTCCTGGGGACATCATCTCCCTCTGCTGCTGCAGCCATTTAGCTGAGCTTGGAACAGAATTCCTTCCTAAACCTGGTCCAGGGCTGGTGGGGGCTGACATCCTAGACTGCAGGTGGTATTTCTAAATACTCCTGTCAGGCAAGAGCTGGCTTCGGGCGGCCTCCTGTGGGTATAACAGGGTCTCTGCTCTTGGACCTCCGGTCCTGGTGAATGCAGGTAGGAGGCGCTGCATGGCTTGTAAGACCCAGGGCCTGGCTGGAGCCAGACTGCTGGGGGCTTCTGGGGCCTTGAGACTTAAGGGAGCTTCCCAGCCGGCTTTCCAGAGCAGCTGGGGGTCTGGCTGGGCTCTGGCTTCACTTCTTTCCACCTTCCATGGCCAGAGAGGGAACTCTTCAGGGTCCCCTCAAGCTTGTGCGAGGCCACTGGCTGAGCTTAGCGGGGACCGCTGCAGGCCTGTTCATTAAGGCATAGTGTCTTCCTTCCTGTCATCGGGCTGATGGACAGAGGGTCCCTCTGTTGTCATTTGCCCAGGGGCAGCCGCTGAGCCCTCTCCACTCCACCGCCTGGAGAGCTCTCTGAAGGGGATCTTGCCTGGGAGGCCCTTGCGTTTTGCCTGCTTGGCAGGCCCCAGCCCCAGGCCCAACTCCAGCTCCGGCTGCAGCTCCAGCAGCTCAGAAGGAGAAGACCTGCGGCCAGAGACCGAGCTCTGGAAGCCACTCCAGGGTGAGCTAAGTGGGAGAGAAGAAGGTAGGGAGTGCTCCTGGGGTGCAGCCACTGCCCTGATGCCCGCTTTGTCTGTGATACCAGTGGGGGACCGTCTTCCCAGCTGCAAGCGTCCTGGGCCTGCATCCCCATGCCCTGGTGGCACCCCTGCTGGCAGCTGCCCTGGTGAAAGCTCAAGGAGAGCAGAGACCAGAGGCCGCTGTGCCCTCAGTGCAGGTGAGCCTGGGCTCCTGGGAAGGCCACACCCCTGGGGGGGCTCAGGCCCAGAGCCCCGATTCTCCAAGTCCCTCCCGCCACTGCCTGACCCTTGCCAGGAAGTTGGCTACCTTGTCATGCTTGAGTTCCTTGTAAGGTAAGCGGGTCCGAGAGGGCCAGGGGGGCTGCTGAGGCACGTTGGGCCCCAGGAGTGTTAAATGAGTGTGTCTAATTAGAAACCTGACAATCAGCTCAACGTATATAATATATACACATTATGTGCACTGAATAATGTACACATGTAGACACACACACACACACATACACGCTTGTGCCAGACCCGGCCTGTCGGCAGCGATGCCCGCAGACCAGAGGTGCTCACCCCAGCACATACTGTGCATAGCGAGCCCCGCAGATGTGTCTCTCACCAAGGCCCGTGTTCTGGCCGAGCCAGCCCTTGTGGTTCTTGTTATGATTGTAGGATACGCTGCAGCAAAAACCGTCAGGCAACTTTTTGAAACAGAATTTATTACAGGTCCTCGAGAGTACCTGGGCATGCTTGAGGGGCACACAGCAAGGTTGCAGGTAGAAAGAGAGCGTGCAGACCAGGGTTCTGTTATTATTAGGGTTGAGGTGGGTGTCTAGGATTTAGGAGATTCACTCTTAATTGGCTCATTTAAGGCATCAAAGCAGGAATTAGGGTGTGGGAGGGGAAAGAGGGGACACTCCAGTGGTCAATTACCTAGGTGTCAGGGCTTTCTGAAGGGGGAACTTCATGGGTGCAGGTGGCCTGGTTCCCTGTCTGCTTGTTTTGCTAGTAGCCATGTCGTATAGCTGGCGACATGTCTATCCCAGGTGGGTGTTTTTTGAATGGATGCCTTGGCAGTCAACAAAAGCTTAATGTCATGTGCTTACGCTGCGTGTGCATGTATGTATGCGTATAATAATGATAATAATATACATTAAAAATATTTGGCATGAGCAAAAACTGTCAGCAGTGAGATTCTGCTGTCTAGAGGTTGTCCTGTCAAGAAACCTGGAAATGCTGCCTGCTGCCCAGGCCACCTCCTTTTACAGTCCAAGGGTGACCAGTGTTTGCTCCCAGCAGGGAAAGCAGAAGAGGAGACGGGAGGCAGGTCTCAGTCACCCTGGAGAGAAGCGTGCTTGGGGACCCTGGGCCAGTGTGGCCCCCTTGGCAGTCCCAGAGGAGGTAGGCATGGGGTAAATGGTTGGGGAAGGGACTCCCCCCAAACTCAGGTCAGTAGCTCCACGCAGGTCTCTGCTTAGGCTCAGCCCTACCCCAATTCTTCACTGCCTGGTGGGCCGGGCATGGCCTGCATGGTGCCCCCATCATGTCCCTGGAGAGTATGACTGGAGGTGGACCCTGCAGCCCTTGGCCCTCTCCACCTGCCCTCCCTGGCCTCCACCTCCTAGTAGAGCCAGAGGCAGCCACACCAGAGCCACAGAAGGCTCCAGAAACAACCCGTCCACCCTCATCACACACACCCAGCAGGCCATTTGACCGGAGGTGGGCTCCCTGGGCCAAGTGTATCCATCTCGCATCTCACATAACTATTATTTGAAAGTTGAAAGTCCAATTATTTTAGGCCTTGTCCAGCTTTCCCCAGTCCGAGTGGCTGTGGCAGACCGCAGCTGTCCACATCCAAGTGCCCTGTGCTCTCCTGCAGGGGCAGCTGTGAGCTCCGGCCCTGCTTTGCGGCTGGAGAAAAGGCCTGGACCGGGGTCCCGCCAGCCTCCTGGGGCAGCCCTGGGACTCTTGACCTCGAAGCCCCGGGTTAGTGAAGAATCCAGGAGCCTGGAGCCTGGGAATGGAGGAACAAGTGTTGCAGGTGAACTGGTGGCTCTGTCCCCTCGAGTTGTCAGGAGCCCTGCAGTCCCGGGGGTATGCAGGGTCTCAGCCATATGGTCGCCCACCCCTTCCCCATTGCGCAGCTCCTCCCAGCAGCGTGAGCAGCCCGGAAGCCTGGGCTGGGCTTTCTCTGAACACCCTTGCAGGCTGTGTGCGTCACACCTTGAGCTCACTTCAGGTGGCTCGTTTCATTGCTTCCTCACAGGAACAGCTGCTTTTTCATAACGTGGTTGGAGGCAGGAGCTCCAGAATAGCTATGCCCAGAATCAGTTTGGGGGCCCAGGCGACTTCAAAGGACACATGAGGACGCCGAGGCCCAGTGATGCTGAGTGGCCCGGCAGAGGCATCCCACAAGATGTGGCTGTGTGTCCACCTGGCCCTGAGGGAGACCTTCCCTTGGCCACATCAGGGACAGGACATGTGGTTCACTCCTGGCCATGCACCCTGACCCTCCCACCAGTGACTGGACGCGTGGCCTGCGGCCGGGGCTCCATCGCTGGCTCGTAGGTTCGGCTACTAGGGAGGTGCAGCCGCTTTATGAAGAGCCCTGGGCTGGCCCGCAGCCCCTTGGGCAGAAGTTCCTTACACAGCATGGCCAGCCCGTAGCCTAGCTCCTCCCTGAGGAATTTGCCCGGGCAGCAGTTGGGTCCTTCCGCACCCTACTCTCCACTTTCCTGTTAGGAAGCTTCTTTCTGTAAAGAAGGCCAGAGCCAGGCTGGGGACCAGAGGACAGATCATCCTGCCAGCTGGGGGTAGTGATGGCTTTCTGTGAGGTTTGCCTGGAGAGACCAGTTCCAAGGGAACTTAGGGTGAAGGACTGGGTGATATTTAAAGTAACTTAAGATTTAAAATCTTTGGGATCTATGGCTCCTCAGGAGGGAGGGTCAAGGTCAGGGTGGGGCAGAAGCCTGTGGCTGGCTCATGGCTCAGCGCCCAGTCACCCCTTGAGCAGCACCCTAGCCCCAGACTCGTTTTCACGGCTGCCACGGCTTTGGCCCGTGCTGTGTGCTGACCCCCTAGGGCAGGGGCAGGTACTCTGGGGTGCTGTTTGGTCCCAGAGGTGGCACAACGAACCCCTGGGTCTTTTCCTAGAAGGTGAGAAGGCTACTGTCCTAAAGAAGCTCAGTTACCAGGGAGACCCAATCTGTAGCTTATCCTGTCCATGAATCTGGGGAGCGGCCAGGAGAGGTGTCCACTTTCAATGTGATGAGCATTGGCATTGATATTCTCAAGCCTGAGTCACTTCCCATCTAAAGCCTGGCCTTGGTGGCCAGAGCCCCTACACTAGCCAAAGGGACGGCTGTGGGGAGAGCAGGCCCTGACACCTGAGAGCTCTCTCCCCGGCCCCTGCTTTGGTTTTAGGCAGGAACGATGGGAGGCTGCTTCCCAGAGGCCCACCCAAGCCGCCCCCTGCAGCCGCGGTCCCCGCTGCTTCTCCGCCTGCCTCCGCGCGGCCTCCGTGTCCCTGTGGGAGTTCCCTGCAGCAAGAGCTCCAGGGCCTGAGTGCCGCCCTCTCAGAGAAGCTGGACCGGCTCGCCACAGCCCTGGCAGGCCTGTCTCAGGAAGTGGCCTCCGTGAGGACCCAGGTGGACCGGCTAGGGAGGTGCCCTCGGGGCCCTAGGCCGAAGGGCCTGGCTTCCTGGCGCTGGTCCCGCTCCCGGGGACCTCGCTGGGCTAATGGTCCTGCTCCCGGACCCTTGCCCTACTGGAGGCAGAAGGGCCCCACCAGGCCCAAACCAAAGATCCTGCGGGGCCAGGCAGAGGGCTGCAGGGCTGGGCACTCCTCAGGCCCCTCCCAAGGGAGGCTCCACCTGGTGCCTCCGCGGCCTCCAGACGCTCCCCCTGCAGAGCCTTCCGGGCCCCACTCCAGCCCTTACCAGCAGCCCCTCTCAGCATGCAGCTGCCGCGCTGTCCTGACTGTACGTGCCCCCCTCTGCCACAGCGGGGGACACCAGAGCCCCCCTGTCCCCGCAGTGCCTGCTGCCCTACCCCCCCAGATGGCCCTTCCTGCATCCAGTGCAGATACAGAGCCACTGGCTGCAGCTGCTGTGCCAACTGGGACCCCAAACCAGCCCAAGGATCCTAACAGCCTGGTGGCTGGGGTCGAGAGGACACTGGAGGGGGAACTGTGGGGTGGGGAACATGGGGGTCTGAGGTGGGGGGGTCCCTTGCCGCCTTCTTCATGGGCTCAGTTCTGCTGAGGATGCTGTGCCCCCTTCCTCCTCTCCTAGGGCCTGTCTCGGCCTGTCACCCTCCTGTAGCCGAACCTTCCCCGTTTCTCGGCCATGAAGGGCCTGGGAGTTCCTCCACTGGCCTGACCCCACCCCAGCTCTGTTTGCTCAGGGAGGCCGCTGTCGGGGGGCGTTTCTCAGCCACGCCTGTGGTCGCCTTGGCTTAGGTTCATTCCAATGTCGTGTCTCCTCCTGTCATGTCCTTCCCACTGGAGCTGCCGTGGCTTGCAGGCCGGCGGTGTGCGTACACATGTGCACACCACGGGGGCCGGGGCTGCAGGCCGTGAGGGCCCTCTTCCCAACACCTGCCCTTCCCAATCTCAGCACCGCGAAGGGCTGGTCTCTCTCCCTTTCTGGTAAATAGTGCACAGGTTTCATTTGGGAGAACTCTGCCCCTTGGTCCAAGCTGGATTCTACCCATGTGGATTCTAAAACTAAAGAAGTTGGTTGCTTGCCTGTGTGGGGCTGCACCAGGGCCCCTGGACACCCTCGAGGGCATTCCGCACCGTCCCATAAGGCCAGGAAGGTGGGCTGCCAGACAGAACTCCCAGATAGCTCCTTGGAAAAGAGCGGTGCACACTGCATTAGTTCTCCGAGGCTGCTGGTGACAATGTGCCACAGCCTGGGCGCTGTAGCAGCAGACATTCACGCCCGTACAGTCTGGAGGCTAGAAGTCCAGGGCCACAGTGTCGGCAGCATGGTTCCTTCTGAGGGTGGGCGCGAGTCGGTTCCAGGCCTCTCCTGGCTCCTCGGTGGGTGCTTCACGTTCACACGGCGTTCTCCCTGTGAGCACGTCTCTGTGATTCCCCTGGGTATCAGGGCACCAGTCACGTTGTACTAGGCCCACCCTAAAGCCCTCCCTTTAACTTGATCACCTCTGTAAAGACCCTGTCTCCAAATAAGGTCATATTCTGAGGTCCTGGGAGTTAGGACTCCAGCACAAATTTGGGGGGCACAGTTGAATCCGTAACATATAAGGGGCTGGGCCAGTCTTGAGTCTGGGGAGAAGGAAACATGGCAGGAGTGTGCTCGGGCCAGCTGGCCTGCTCTGGGCCGCACCCCTCGGGGGGCCCTTGGGGCATGTATACTGGGGAACTCGGCTGTTGCGTCCTTACCTCATGTCCTTCCCCAGGGTCAGGCCTCCCCAGCCTCACGTTCCCACCTGTGTCCACCTTGGGTTTGAGGGCTCTTCGGGGAACATGTGCGTGGGTTGCCCAGGAGGACGCCTGGCATGGGTGGGCCGCGGGTGCACCCGTGCAGAGGCCCCCGGCTTGGGGCCCAGGCACACACATGGCTGCTGTGCCCTGTGTGCTCACGGCGACCCGGCTGAGGGTGGGCGGGTGCAGACACACTGTCACAAGGTGGGCATTAAAATGTTCTCAGGGCTGGAGTGAGGCCCCAGACGACCACCTTGAAAGCTAGTCTATGAGATGATGCAAGGAGGGCATGTAAAGTGAGCGTCTCCTCACACCCAGCCATACTTGATAGAGAATAAGGAACAGAAAGCGTTTGGGCTTTCCGCGTAGGATGCCTCAGGAAGATGAGTTCATCTCCTTCTTCAGCTGTGCAGCGGGTGACACCCGTGAGCCGGTAGAAAGGGTGGGACACAGGTGCCCCGGCAGTGAGGGGGGAGGGTTCTGCACCCCTGCTCGACCCCTCCTTCCATCCGTCTGGGGCTGGCTGTCGTGTGGCCCCCCTCGGCAGGGGCAGTGGGAGGCGGCCCACCATCTCTCTTTGTATGGCATTCTAAGGTTTTGGCTTGTGGACTATAAATATCAGCCATCATGCAAACCCTGTGCGGGAGGCACAAGTGTGAGTGACTTGTTCCAGATCGCACAGCTTCTCATCTGCAGCAGTGGACTCCACAGCAGGCCTCCGCAGCCCTGGCACGGCCCTCATCCACCGGGCACACTGCCTCTCCCGGCCGTTGCCTGTGGCAGAAGTAATCCTGGCGGTGAGCCCACTCTGGGGGGTGCAGACCCAGTGGGACTGTAAGGAAGCTCAAATTATTTTTTTTTGACAATGTGGGAAATAAGTAATAAAATGAATGGCAAGAAGCTCTATTATCTGCAGATATGTTCATCCCGCAGGTCACTGCCACACAAAAAAACAACCCTCTTAACGATTGTTAACTGAAAAGCCTTCTAGTCTCATTGCTTTGGTGGAAAATCAGTATGCAGAGTAGGGCTTTGGTACCATGTGCATCTCCTTCACCTCCTTTACGAGGACATGTCACCTTGTTGGGAGAAGCTGAGGGGCCTTTGTGAGCTCAGGAATCCCAGGGGTCTGGAGGTGGGGACAGAGGAGGCGCTGGCTCTGCCTGCCACCACCTGGGAAAGTACCCCGGAGGGTGGCTCCTGGTGCCCTGGCTGCAGACCTGCCCTCCCAGTGGAGCTCACCTCGGGTTCTCCCTACGCTCCACTGCCAGGAGACGGGCAGTGGGAGGGCACTTGGCCTATCAGAGCAAGCAGGCTCCCCTTGGTCTCCAGGCCACTCCCAAGGGTGCCAGTGGAAGAGAGGCCGAAGCGGTGGGGGGAACCTGTGACACCCGCTGATGTCCCTGCTCACTCCAGAAGGAGCTTGGCACACTGGTAGACCAGACGTGACTCTGACCTTCTTGTGTCTGTGTTTTTGATGTGGCTTCTGTAAACAGCCTATAGTTGGATTTTATTTTTTAATCCAGCTTGACAAATTTTGTTCTTTTCTTGGAGCCTTTAATCGATTTACATGCCATAGTTCCTGATAGATTTCAATTTAATGATACCCTCTTATTTTGTGCCTATGTTTGTCTCCCTTGTGCTGGGGGTTTGTCTCTTCTTTCCTGCCTTTTGTATGGACAAGGTTGTGGGATTTGTTTTTAATCATTCCATTTTCCCCTCTGCTAGTCTCAACATTTAAAAAGTTAAAAGGAAAAACATGGAAATATACAGTCTTTTTTGGGAAATTTTAGCATACCTTTTTAAGAAACTGATGGAAGAAATCAGGAATGCTAGAGAAGATTTGATGCTAACTGATTAATATATAGTATATCGAGAACACTACACCATAGGACTATAAAATATATATTCTTTTGAAGCATATACAGAACATTACAAAAAGTGACCATATGTTAAGCCCTAGAGCAAGTTTAAACAACTTGGAATTATACAGACTGTGTTCTCTGACCATACTTTAACTTTTCAGCCAGAAGCAAATAACAAAAAATAATGAAAATTTACAAAAATGAGAACTTTATATATTGAAAAAATAAGACTTACTCTCCTAAATAACCCATGTGTTAATGAAGAAATAAACAGAAAAAAACCGTTTTGAACTGAACTGTAAGAACCATATGTCAAAACGTGTAGGATCAAGCTAAATCAGTGCTTATGAAATGAAATGTGAAAAAGGCCGAAAGTTTACAGGGAGGTGCAAAGAAAAACCAAAAGAAAAGGGAACGTCAGAGCAGAAATCAGTGAAATAGCATACATACACCAGATAAAAGTAAGCCAGAAATTGTTTCTTTTACAAACTAATGAAATTGACCAGCTTGTAGTATTATTATTCATCAGTAAAAAAGAAGGTACAAGTAACCAATCTTGGAAATGAAAAAGGTTCACTACAAATGCTGCTCCTGACCACAGAAGGGTAAAAAGATGTTATTTCAAGCAACTTTTTGCCAGAATGTGAAAATTCAACAAAAATATACAATTCCCAGGTGTTAAGACTACAGCTTAACCAGATTCAAGAAGAAATAGATAACCTGAATGGGGCTTTGAAAAAATTGCATTTAAACATCTTCCCATGAAGAACCACAGACCCAGAGGACTTCACTGGTAAGGTCTGCCTCGCATGGAAGATTATCCCAATAATACACAAAGTATTCCAGTGAACAGGAACATACAGAATACACTGTATGACATTAGCATAATCTTGAAACCAAAACTTGAGGACAGTACCAGAAAAAAAAAATCACAGACTAATGCCAAAAGTACACAGAAGCAAAACTCTAGTGTCATCCAGCAATTTATTAAATAAAAAGAAAACCATCATGACTGAGTTGGGTTTATCACAGGAATTCACAGATGGTTTTAACACTTGAAAATCACTCGTGGTAACCTGCCACAGTAATAGAGGACAACATCTCTACAGCTATGGAAAGATCATGTGCTAAGAGCCAATATCCATGAATACTATAAACTAGGATGAGAAAGGACATTTCATAGTTTGATAAAGATTACCTCCAAAAAAAAAAGCTTATAGCCAACATAATAGTTAATGGTGACCCATTGAGATGTCTTAGATCAGGACCAAGAAGGGGAGGCCCGCCCTCACACTCAGCATGATAGCAGATGCTGGAGCCAGGACCGTAAGGCAAGGATGAGAGGTGATGAGAATGGGAAAAGCGGTCATTACTTACGGGTGACATGACTATATACATAGACAAGTGAAAGAAATCTATAGATAAGCTTTATAAGGTAACTGGCTAAAAACCTAAAACACAAAGTTTTGTTTGCATATACCAACAACTAGCAGAAAATAAAATATTTTTCGTTTACAAAAATATCAAATGTCTAGGATAATATCCACCAAAGATTTCTATGGAGAAAACTATTGAGCACTTTTCATGAGTTCATTCATTATTCATAACAGTTCAGGTAGGTGGAGAACTGTTACTATTCTTGTTTTACAAATGAGGGAACTGAACTCTCATTTACAGGAAGGTAAATAAACTTGCTCAGGCCACACAGCTGGTAGGGGATTGAGGGGTGCCTGATGCTGGGGTAATCTGTCTTCAGAGCAGACACTTAAAACATGCAGAGCAACAGCACACAGAAAGCTGCACCTTCAAGCCAGATTTGGTGGTGTCTGAGGCAATTCAGGGAAGAAGAAAAAGTAGATTATTTATACTAACCTGCAACATTTGTATGTTACTTGTTGAATGTCTGCTCCCCACCCCTGATCGTAAGCTCTATGAATGAGTCAGATACATACTGAATCTCTGCACCAACACTGGGTCAGGGACGTAATGGGTTCAATAAAAATGTATCAAATATCTGAATAGTGCTTTTATTTGGATTTGAGACACCAGAGAGTAAGACGTTAGGATGAACTCATTGGAATTTCAAAGTATTTATAGAACCCTTGGACCCTAACTGAAACTGTAAGCTAATACTATTGACAGTGCTGAGATTCTGTTTCCCCTGTTAGGCTGGCCACTTATCGCTACAGGAAAGAAGTTAGGAAGGTATTCTTTCCTAGTCCTGGAGCATCTGTGTCCACTTTGCACAAAGTTCATCAGTCTATCATCTATCAATCAATCACCTCTCTATGGACTTTTAAGCAGCTGGGAGCAGAAAAGGAGGCTCTCCTTAGTCTGCCTCTCGGATTGCAGGGGAACCGCTTTCTCATCTCTATCAGACCTAGGCAGAGTGGCAGGAAGCTGCATTTCTGGAATTCTGATTCACGAGGGAAGAGCTGGGATCTGGCAGAAGGGGCTTCACTTCCCGGGTCTTGGCGCCACCTACAGAGAAGGACGAGCAATTACGGATCAAAGCCGCACCTAGAATGGTACAGGGGAGCTAAGGTGCCAGGAAGTCGGTCTCTCCTATTTCTAGTCACTAAGGCCCTCCTCAAAGCTTCCACCGACTAGCACAGGACATCCTGTGTGTGGTTCCTGGGTATGAGATGGCCACATATCTCACTGTCACCAAATTCTCTTCCAAAGCAGAGCTGGATCCTGCCGCCACCTTGCTGGTGGGTGGGGGTGGGGCAGCATCCTCGGAGACGGCTCGCTCGCGGCAGAATCAGGTCCCGGCCTTACCCTGGCGCTCGAGCCCCTCCATGAGCTGCCCTCCATTTAGCTGAGTAATCGCACCCCATACTTGGGTTTCAGCCAGGCCGAACTTCTCATTACTTATGCTCACCTGAGCCCACACGTTCTCCTTGCTGTTTCCCCTGCCAGAAATACCCTTCCTCAATTTTCACATTTATTTGTCCATTTTATTAGCAGAGTCCGAAGTTGGTACTTCCACCGTGATTCCTGCAGTGGGAAGTGATAGAGTAACAATTAGAGCTAACACTAAGCATTCCCATGTCCAGGAATAGCGGTAAGGACTTCAACGTATTTAATCCTCACAGCAATCTTAAAAGGTCAAGTTTCTTACCCCCATTTTATAGGTTCACATGCTGAGCATCAAGCAGTTCAGTGGCTTGTCTCAAATCACAAATCTTGGCTCTCATGACAGCCTGTGGGGTGGGTACTTTGGTACTATTTATTCTGTTCTTCATACCTCTTTTACAGATGAAGCAAAGCCATCTGCCCAGGGTGGCAGGATTAGTAGGTGGTCGCGCCAGGCTGTAGACGGAGGCAGGTTTGCACGCAGGAGGGCTGCCAGGGGGTCTCTGCCAGGGCTTGCTCATTGGACCAGTCATCCAGCCTTCCCAGGTCTTGGTCTCCTCCTCTGTTACAACAGCGGTATCTCCCCCAAAGATGCTACTCTGTTTCCCAAGACAATCCCGTAGTGCTCACGTGCTGTCGGATTCACGCCAAGCGCCCATGAATATCAGATGCTGCCACTTAGGAGGGGACGGCTCTCACCCCCACCCTCCTATGGACCTTGGAACTGGAAAAGGGAAATTTTAGACACATTACAGGAAACCTCTCTGCCCTGAAAGGTGGGACTTGGGCTCCTAGTGTTCCACAGTGTCTTGGGGATCCTGGCCTAGGGTTCTCAAACCTGACTGCCCCTCAGGACAAGGCAGGTCCCCCCCACTCCCAGCTGGTTTTGTGGCTCTGGGCCAGGTCCTGGTCAGCAACCTCGTCGGTGGGGAGGTTTCCAGATGGGGTACATTTGTGAAGTTGCCCCTCCCATTCTGAGTCCCACTTGCCAGCACAGCCTCAGTTCTCTGGGGCCTGAGGAATGACGGAAAGGCTGTCTCCTAGGCAGATGGACAAACTTGATGGAAGTGCCCCCAATTTTATTAGATTTGCCATCCGCCATTAAAGGTGGGTCTTCCAGGAGTTATATGCCGTGTTGTCATGAGGTCCTAAGAGAGACGCAGCCTAATCAGATAG